CCCTCAGTGTTTCCAGTGCGTCCTTGCACTTCTCGGTTGGGAACGGGACCGCCGGTTTCTCAGCTGAGAGGCTTCGAGTAGCAGGGAGATGGGTGAAGTCTTGTTTTTGCACCTGTCCAATAAGCAGCGCTAGTTTAAGATCAAATACTTTGATGTGGGAATACATGTCAGATTAGTTTTCCCTTGCCTTGGAGCTGCAAGTTGAGGCCGTTTAAAATTTCTGACACATCTGTTAATAAAGGCGAGGTCCCATTTCCATTCTGTGTCGATCAGCTCTGGGAAAGTTTTTCCCTTTGTCAGGAGAAAGGCATTGATTTCGGGTAGCAGGTCGTAAAAACGCTTCAAAACTCTGGCTGGCTTAACCAGCGGACTTCAGTGTGGTAAAGCACGTCTCCGTGGGCTGATTCTAGCTCGGAGAGAAAGGCTTGGAACTGTCTGTGTTTAAGTCCGTTTGCTCTGATGAAGTTTATGCAGGACACAACCACCTTCATGACAGATTCCCACCTCAGAACTTTGCAGCTTGACGCTGGCTCGGTCACAATCAAAGTCACGTCAGAATATACCATTGTGTGAGGAGGTGAAGATGAGCCACTATTAACTATAAATAGCTCATAACTATGGTCAATTTTAATTAGAATGCCAACCTTTAAGTACGGATATGTTATGATGTTATGATAGGAAAATGCAATTTAATAAAAATTGGTTGATGTTTAGAGGGATTGTCTGGAATCGTTAAGTGGGCCACTCCAATTGCTTTGGCGGGCCGGATGTGGCCCGCGGGCCGTAGTTTGGGGACCCCTGATGTAGAGGATCAGGGGTGTCACAGGAAAAGTAGTAAATCATTTCCTTTCATTTCATATTTTAATAGGCATTAAAAACAGGAATTGTAAAAAGAATTTATAAATGGGCGATTAATTCATCAATAAATAGTTAAGATTTAAAAATGGATTCACAAAAACGGCATAAAACACTCATTAAATAAACCATTTATAAATACACTCATTTATGAATTAATAATAGAATTTGACACACACGCTAAACAGTCCCATCATGGAGAGGATGAAAGGAGGAGCTAAATGACTAAGCTAATCGATTAGCTAATAGGAAAAAGAAAAGCAGCTCGAAAAAGGAAATGGAAATTGAAGAGGGAATCCAGATATGTATTCCCATTTTTAAAATGCCTTTCCAAATAGTTTTTCAAATTATATTATTTATTCATGAATTAATTCATATATCTCTAAATGGTTTATCCAATCAGTTTTATACTGTTTTTGTGAATCCATTTTTAAATTTTAAGTATTTATTGATGAATTCATGGTTCACTTATAAATTCTTTTGACAACTGTTTTTATTGCCTATTAAAATATGAAATTGAGGAAATGCTTTATTGCTCTTCCCGTGACATCCCTGATCCTCCATACAGCAGAATGACACTTCATGCACGGACCGTCTGCTCTTCATTCACCGAAGCATTTTCTTTTTTATTTAAATTGGACATTTTACAAACAATCAGATATCAGCTCTTAAATAAAAGAAACATTTAAAATTTAACAAAAAAGAGATGAAAATATATATTTTTCTTTTAATTCACTGAAGCATTTCGAGCTCATTTCCATGAGGAGTGAAGCAGCAAGGACTTCCTGTCTTGTTTTATTGGGTAATGTGACACCTGTGCGTAAAGGGCGGGGCTACGTTGACCCGAGAGCCGAGCTCGTCTAGGTGTGGCCTGGATTGTTTTTATCAGCTGCAGCAGTTTCAGTCGAGACGTTTCAGGTGAGACGCAGAGGAGAGGAGTCACGCAGAGCGACAGGTGAGTGTCGATATCAGGTTGTGGGATTAAGAACTAAAAAGTCTTTTTAAATCTCTAATAACTTGTTACCTGTAGCTACAACAGACAGGTGTGTTGTTACTGGTCGCGGCTTTAAGTCAATGATCTGCTCAGCAGCATCTCTGCTGCTGCGATGTTCAGATGTTGAGGAAAGACGGTTGAAAATGCAGGATTATTATAAATGAAACAGCTACAAGTGGCTGCATATGGTCACTGCCTCCGAAACATTTGTATTTTTATAATTTTATTGATAAAAATATGAAGTTAATTGATGTTTCAGACACAGTTGCTGCGTCTGTCGTTGGAAATGGCCGCTTAAATTCACACAATACGTTGTTATAGTTGCAGAATTCCAAAATAAAAGCTTAAATGTTCAGTCGATTCATTGACTTGGTAATTGACAGAAAGATAACCAGTAATAATCATATTTGAAGCAAAAATGCCAAAAAAATCCCAAGTTTGAGCTTCTCAAATGTGAGATATTTTTGTTTTCATGTCATATTAAACTAAATATCTTTATATTTTGAAGGGCTGTTGGACAAACATACATTTGGTCCTCAGGAATTTATGGTTGTTTTCTGATATTGTACAAACCAATTGATTAATCAAGAAAAATAACCATCAGATTAGTTGATAATGAAGATCAATCATCAGTTACAGCCCTGTTTCAGATATGTGTTATTACATAACTCTGTCCTTATTATAGAAATCTTCCTGCAGAAACTTTTCACGGGACAGCACCCAGCGGATCCAGCAGTCATGTCCTCCAGGCCAAACGGGAGTCCGCCTCCCTACGAGTCGGACGGATAGTGAGTCTCTTTCAGTGACATACAGTAAACCTTCCTTTATGACTGTGTATGAGCATCCTACATACGGAAGCAAAGAAAGGCCACAATCATGTGAATCATTAAATATCTAAAGCTGAAAGTTAAATATAATATTTGAAAAACCAGCTACATTAATACATGTGGTGGGAAATTCCTGCCCTGGAAATGTAAGTTTTATGATTTCAAAAAACTTTCTACCTTAACTTTCAAAACTTTTCTACCTTAAATAATGTGACTGACAGAGAATAATCAGAACAGAGATCTGATAGATTCAATTTAGACACAATTTATTGATTTATTTTATATTTAACTCCAGCTGTTCAAGTCAGTTTTGAGTTTTGGTACGAGCAACTTCTTAAACGTTTTTGAAATTAAAAGTTTTTAAAATATTTTTGGTTTCAAATATAGATTCAGACATGTTTGTTTTTTTTTGTTTTTGATATATATTTTACATTAGGTGTTTGTTTTCTTACAAGATTAAAATCCTAATCGTCTTTCTTTGCTTCCATTTTTCCCTCAGGCCGATTTTCTGCTTTAACCATGAACATCAGGTGTTTACTGTTTGTGTTTGTTTTTTATTTCCAGTAACGGCCCCCCCCAGCCCGCCTATTCTTATTACCCAGATGACGAGTTCCAGCATTTCTACCGCTGGACGTCTCCGCCAGGCATCCTCAAAATCATGGCCATCATAGTCATCGTGCTGTGCGTCGCCATATTTGCTTGCGTTGCCTCCACCTTGGCGTGGGACTCTCAGGGAGCCATGTCTGGCTTTGGGGGTATTGGGGGGGGTTATGGCGGGGGCGGGTATGGCGGAGGGTATGGCGGCGGGTATGGCGGCGGCGGCAGTTACAGTGGCGGGTACGGCACCTTTGGAGGCGGCGGGTATGGAGCTGGAAACAACTACGGTTACGGCGGAATCGGAGGGAACTACAACGACCCCCGATCAGGCAAAGGGTTCATCATCGCCATGGCAGCCATCATCTTCATCGCCTGCCTGGTCATCTTCATCATCGTCGTGTCCCACCAGGGCCTATCAGAGAGCAGGAGGTTCTACCTAGCAGTGGTGATCATCTGCGCCTTCCTAGCGCTGCTAATGCTAATAGCCTCCATAGTGTACCTGATGGCGGTGAACCCCATGGCGCAGTCGTCCGGGTCGGTCTACGCCAACCAGATCGCCGGCCTGTGCGCCCAGTACCAACAACCACAGCCCTCAGGAGTGTTTGTCAACCAGTACCTGTACCACTACTGTGTGGTGGAGCCTCAAGAGGTGAACACACACACACACACACACACACACACACACACACACACACACACACACACAACTCTGACTTCCTTTGAGGATTCGTTCTGTCTGTAACCCAGAGTGTGTCGTGTCTGATTTCAGGCCATCGCCGTGGTGTTCGGCTTCCTGGTCGCCATCGCCCTCATCATCATGCTCGTGTTCGCTCTGAAGACTCGACAGAAAATCAGAAACTACGGAAAGAGCAACATTTTGTGGAGGAGAGTGAAGGTGATCGAAGAGGAGGCGCCACCTCAGGACGTGGAGGCGTGGGTGAGTGACGGCTATTTTTTTTATAAGTGTGAGGATTTTCAGCTTTTCTCTGTTTTATATTATTTTAAACTGAATATTTTTCAACTGTTGAACAAACAAACAAAACGCGACTTTTAAAGACTCCACGTCAGCAGTTTTTCACTAAATTAAATTAAACCAAATTATTTTTACAATGATTCATCTACAGATTCTTTTTTTAATTAACCAATTAACTGTTATAAAATGTTATAAAATGTTGACAATGTGCCTGACAATTTCCTACAGCTGAATAATATTAAATATATTGTAATAGGAAATATTTGGCATTTGGCACTTAATAATTGGTTCAAACGGTTTATATAGCTGCAACGATTAGTCAATTAACTGATTAGTCGACTGACAGCAACTGTTTGATAACTGAATAATCAATTTTAAAGAAAGAATGAAGAATTTGATGCTTTTTTGTCACAGAAAACTGAATATTTGTGGGTTTCAGACTGTTGATCAGACAGAATAAGAGATCTGAAATGACAACAGGCACTTTTCACTTTTTTGTGGCATTTTATAGAGAAAATGATTCATTGATTAATCAAAAATAATAATCTGCAGATTAATTGATAATGAAAACAACAACATTAGTTGCAGCCTGAAGCCGTTAATTGAGTGAGTTGATCATCAGAATAGTTGCCAATTGATTTAATGTCAATAGACTCATTGATGAACCGGCTCTGTGTTCACTTTCATGAGGTGATCCTAAAAGTGTGTCGGCTGAAGTCGCACAACCAGTTTAGTAGAAGTCCCTTGTTTTGTTGGCGGGGGAGGGGAAGTGTGGTGCAACCGGCTCCTTCTCTCTAGTGCGCTTGGTTTCAAGGTGTGGCGTGTGCACAGGTGACAGTTTCAATCCGGCGCTGACATGTCGTAAAGTGGGAAGAGCTCCTGCGATGAACAGCCGGGCTCAGAGCCGTCACTGTGTTCATGTAGTTAAAACTATAAATTCATGATGAGTCACGGCGTATGAGGTAAGCAGAGATGAGTAGGTGAGTCATGAGGTCTGAAGTCGTGATGACATTCAGCTCGGCCGTGTCCTTGCAGCTGGAGAGGAAGAACGGGTCGGACAGGTCGTCAGCTCACCAGTTAGCTGACATGCAACACCACGACAGCAACATGACACCGGGAACCAGAGGTTTTACTCTGCTGCAGCTTGTGGGAACCCGCCTGAAAGTGCTGAGGCAGCCTGCAGCACATACATGCATACACACTGTTGTTGTGGGGCCGTGCAGCAGGGTGTAGCTCACTGACATTCAGGGGACAAGTCCACGCAGGCTTGTCATACCAGAGATGGCAGAGACCCAACGAAGACACCCGTCAAACTGTCATTACTGAAACAACACTGTTGTTTTTACTGTAGATTATTTGCAGTGGCTTGATTTGAGCGCAGCAACGTTTTATATGAAGATCATATTTCTCATGTGGTAGAAAAAAATTTACATTTTAGAGCTTCAACTAATGATTATGTTCATTAATAATCAATCGTTTCTGCTCAGAAAAAATGAAAAATGTTATAATTTCTCATAGTCCGAGGTGAAGGTGTCACATGACTTATTTTGTTTGTGCAACAGTGAAAAACCAAAAGATATTAAATATACTGTGGTATGAAAAAGAAAAGTATCAAATCCTCACATCAGCTGGAACCAGCATTTGTCAGTTTTATTTATTTATTTTTATTTTTATTTTGAAGCGTTGATCCATGAGAAGATATATTTGTGGTTTTAAGAACCAAAAACCATCTCAGTGTAGTTTTACATCTCCTCTCTCAGGCTTCTCTCTGGAGCTCTAGTAACAACAGGTCGGTGAGCCAATCAGAAGAGAGGAGGCTCTGAGCCTCTCTTCTGATTGGCTGACTGTTTTCTGAGTGATCCAATAAAAATATAGCAGATTTCAGGTAAAAACACTCAGAGAAACCAAATCCTGTAAAGGTTTGGATGGTGGGTCCAGGTGGGCGGGGCTTGGTGACTGCTTTGTTGTTGCTGTCATACTATAATATGGATATGTATGTTCTTTTATTTATATATATATATATGTTGCTAATGTGTGCTGTTGTTTTCTGGTGAAGGTGAACAATGTGTCTGTCCCCCCTGAGGAGCTGCCGATGGCGGACTACCCTGAGAAGCTGAGGGGCTCCAGGACTTACCTGGATGAAAGCTCCAACTATGACAAACCCCCCTACAGCTACTCCCCACAGTGAGTCCCCTGACAGAGAGTCTGACAACACTGTCAGAACAGAGGCTGAAATAAAAAGCTCTATATTCTTCATTCACCACCAATCAATACATTCAAACTTTTATTTTATTTTTAAATTAACACCTGATTTTTATTTTTTCTTTGTTTGGTTTTGGGGGAAAATAGATAAATAATTGCTAAGACATTAACGAAAAAGGGAAAATGAAACAGTTAAAAACTAAATAAATAAATGAATAATAAAGTGCTTTACATGGGGAAATCCAAATAAAACAATTCAGCACAAAAATAAATAATAGATAAATAAATAAAATAAAATCAGGCCATTTAAAGTCCAGAGAATGAAATTGAATAAAGCAGCTCACATTAAAATAATATAGATTCAAAGACAGTGTGAAGAGAGATAAAAGATGAAGCCTAAATGGGTGGTATTAATAGAAATAAGAGATAAATAGAAAGGTAATACATTTATTTAATCAACTGATTGGTGCTTAAAAGAGAAAGTTATAAAGTTCTACTATATTTTGTTTACACTCCATTTTTTTAAGAATATTTATTGTGTATTCTGTGATATTTTTAATTTGTCTCATAACCTTTTAGTATTTAGTTACTTTCAGGACTCTGTAAGTGTGCACTGTGGTGAACAACTGCACTGACGACAGGTGTGTGAGAGACACACTCAAAATTTGCAGATGATATTTGGTATTTCAGTTTAAAAAAAACAAAAAAAAACAACCTACGACAGTTTCAGGAAATCAGTTTCGGCTCCAATCGAAACGACAGAGCTGTTTACGTTCCTGCAGCTTCATGAATCACCTCCGCTGCAAAACTGAAACTATGTGAAACATGTGAAATATGTTTGTGCTGAGAAGGAAACGAGAGAGAGACAATAAAACCTGAGAGAAACAGGAAGTGGCTCACCTGTGGACTCATCCAGGATTAATGGCCAGACCATAAATCAGCTTGTGTTTTACTTCCTCCTCCATCAGAGCAAAGTTACTGAAGAGCAGAGACATTTAAACAGACGCCGTGTTTCACTGGATGATTAAATAAAGGAAGCTGAAATGAAAATTGAATTGAAAATAATTAATGAATTGTCCTTTGTCCCACAGGCCTCCGGTGGAAAACAACATGCCTTTGCAGAACGGCGTTCCCTACAGCAGTAACTCGGAGGCGGCCAGCTCGGCCGGACGGCCCAAAAAGAGACGCCCGGCTCGACCGCGACGCGCTGATGGACAGGACTACGACACCGACTACTACTCATCAGGAGACGAGCTGGACGACAACGACTTTGACAGGTACAAAGATAATGAAGAGACAGACGTGGTGGAAATATTCAATGGAACAAACTGTGTGAAACAAAATCCTACATTAAAATAAGTGAAACACAATCTGGCAGTTTAGTAAATGTCCCCTCTCTCCTCTGTTTCCCACCTCAGTGAATTTCCTCCGATTGCAAACGAGCAGGAGCGCAACGACTACAAGCGCGAATTCGACCGCGACCACCTGGAGTACAAAGACCTGCAGGCGGAGCTGGACGCCATCAACAAGAATCTGTCAGAGGTCGACCGCGAGCTGGACGAGCTGGAGGAGGGAAGCCCACAGTACCTGGTGAGAGATTCACGGGAAACACTTGAATGGCCGCACTGAGTATTTCTTTCTGTCACACACGTCGATGGATAATTCAGATGTAACGAAGCTTGTGTATCTGTGTCACTGATGTTGACTGTCGTGTCTCTCTTCGACAGGACGCCTTGGATGAGTACAACAGGATAAAGAACCTTAAAAAGGTGAGTTTGGTCCTAAAATGGATCTTAAAAACTTCCACAAGGCAGTTCATAATAACACTGATGCTGTTATGTCTTCTTATCTCTCCACCGTCCTCGCAGTCTGCAGATTACCAGATGAAGAAGCGCAGGAGTAAATACCTGAAGTCCAAACTGAACCACATCAAGAAGATGGTGAGCGACTACGACCGCATGGCCTGAACAAACCTGCGAGCATCACACACCTGTCCCAGACGGGACAGAGGGGACTAAACTGGGTTTGGCAGTTTGGGGGGGGGGGGTTTGGGGGGTTTCTGACCACACAGAGCTGCGCTGGTCGACGTCGAACACAGAAGCCGCCGCAGTCCGTCTGAGCGGAGAGCCGCTGACACCTGGAAGAACAGGACACGATCTGCTGTCTTGCTTGACGCCGTTGATTGTATTAACATCACCTGACGCAGATGCTGTTGTACGTATTTATTGGACCTGATATGATCTAAATATAATGGTCTAGTAGACTGTGGAGTGAATACGAACTCATAAATGATCCCTGTTGGTTTTTAATAGCTCTTACTGTCTTTTAATCCTCATTTTTAATTCTTCTCTTTTTTTTTTAATCAGCAGTGTAAACATGTAAATACGTGGGAAACGCTTGTTTTTAATGTTTCTATCAGTTTATGGAAGTAAGTTGACAGTGTGTTGTTTAATGCTTCGTGATGTACTCTGACAATGATTTGTGATGTTTTTATTAGAATAAATTCATTTATTAAACATTTTTGCTGTTGTTACTCACACAGTCTGAAAACACTGATCTTGGCAACAGAAACATCCTGTAGTTTATCTGTTTGTTTGTTTTTAACTGACAGTAATATTGTTTTCTAACAGATGTTTTCCAGCATCTTCACAGGTTGAGATGTTGAAAGATGAAAATTACTGTTTTTGTTACAGTGAACATGAATCAACTACAAATTCAACTTTTAAAACCAAAAACACACAGTGACACCTGTGAAGCGGTCATGTGACACTACACATTCCTGCCAGTAGGTTACACTATCCCTCTGATCCAAAGGTGGCAGTAATGAACCAACAAAAGCAGAGAAGAAGAAGAAGAAGCGGCGTCATGGAGGCATAGACTGTCAACTCCTGGTCTGGAACATGAAGCTAATGCGGAAGTGCCTTAAACTTGCATTCTATCGAATGAACTTAGCGATTGCTATGCTAACGGTACCTGGTCCCGCTGGGCAGGTAACCTGTGTCAACCTGGGTTAGCCCGTGGGTAAGATAACGTGACGTATACAAAATGTGTAGAGAAATATTTGTCTTATAGAAGATTGTTCATTTAATATTCAAACCAGTCCTCAACTGAAGCAGACATTCATGCACCTATCCTGACAGCTGATCGATATTTGTGATTAACTGTGATCCACCGCATCTTAACTCAAGTGTTTGTGTTTTATTGTCATTTGAAAGGTTTCCACACTGTGAAAACTGAGTGATCTGTGCCAACAGAAGGAGAACCTCATGTACAGAGCAGCCCATTTGTTTCCATTCATCTGGTTGTGGAGAAGGGAGACTGCATGGACATCCTTAGTTCTCTAATGTGCTGTGATGATGATGGTAGAAAACCTCTCCCAGTTCAGCTTCCTCTGATGAAGTGACAGACTAACTGCTGATGAGTTTGTTTATTATTAATAATAATAAACAAATATAATTTTATATATCTATATAATATATATATATATACTATATATTATATAAAAATAGTTACACAATGCTGTACGTGCTAACTATTGTGAAAATTCATACCAAATGTGTTCTATAAAAACCATCAACAAAGTTAAAGCAAGAGCTTCATAAATAACTTTATTGGACATTATAACTACATTAATCTAAACCATTGTGGACAACACTGGAAACATGTATAAAAGAATGTAATAAATGGATTAATTAAATACTGTAGTGTACAATTTACAATCAACTAACTTTTTAAAATCAAAAAACAGTTGTGGATGAAGTTAAAGCTGAATTTCACTGTCAAGTTTACATAACAAAAAGAAGTAGTTGAATCAACAGCAACAGAATCTTTAGTAACAAGTATAATCATTATTCATCATGAGTCCTAATGTGTGAGACAGTTAATATTTATTTGATCCAGTAACAATCTCCCTCTAAATAAGTGATGCTGTTGGAACAGCACACTGATATTAACTATAATGGCTGAGGACTATGAAATATGAAGTCTAATGTTTTAAACTATTGACAGTTTGTTACAGCTACAGTGGAGTGGATAAATAATATTTACTCATTTAGTTCAACTGAGCAGTGCGCAGTCACCTGGAATATAAAATGTGTTTTGTCTGTATGCTAATCAGGCTAAACAGACTCCGTGACGGGATTGGTTGGAGCAGAGTGGAGAAGCCTCCGACTGCATGGCCGGCTTCTCCTATTGGTGCAGCAATGATCCTGTCAGCCTTCACCACAGCTGCTGCCGTTTCAGCATCAGAGGAAGAGAGTTTAAGAGCCCAGCCCACACATCATTAGTGGCGGCTGACATGATAGGCAGCTCGCCTCTGTGCCTCCTTTGTGAACATTTGTGTGTAAATGTGGTTTGGTTTGAGATGCTGGTAGTGATTGTTGGGGACTGGGCTAGGTTTAAAATTCTGATTGTGCATCACACCCTTAGAAAAAGACTGTTGGACACATTAGGAACAGGGGTGCTGCTTCTTGTGTTTTGGGTTGGTTAGAATCACATAGTTAGGCTCTTTGTTGGCTCCTGTTCCCCTACTTCAGTTATCCTTTTGCCTTGTTTGTATTTTTGTTTAATTATTTACCCTCCTGGTTACGCAATGAATTAAATCAGTACATTTGATTTACCAATAACCCCTGGTTTTATGTTGCTTCCCTTTTCCCCTAGCTGGGTCGTAACATAAAGACTGCCCCACATATGGTGACTGGTGAGACAGCACCATGACTTGACATACAGATGCCAAAACCAACATGGCAGCAGTGAACTGAAACCTGGCTCTGTGAGCAGCCCACAGTCAGTAAGTGGAATACTCAGTGAGTAAAATTTCCCGAGCTGTTGTATCTTCTTTTGCTTGCAGAAATCAACTGCCTGGTACTGGATGCGAGTCCCTCAGCGTGGGAGGTTTTACTTTCTCAGCAAAGTGGTTCAACAAAGGGTTTATATCTTGATGCTTCATGTGAACAGTGCAACATCTACTGGCCTGAATGCAAAATGGGCAAATACAAACGTTTGTACATCACAAATTCAATGTAAGTATAAGGGAAAACATGATTGTATTTTATATTCCAAGCATAGATTTATATACTGTCAAAGCAACTCAAAATTTCTTTTATGCATCAAATGTGTCAATATCAGTCAAGTTAAGCTCAATGTCTTTGTTTTAACTAAGAGTCAAAACTGTAAATTGGTTTAGAAATGTGGGCAAAGAACATGTAGCTTTACTTTTAAATGTCAGCTTTGGTGGTTGTGCTGTAAAGATGCAATATAAGATGTGGCCAGAACTTAAGTTTAAAATGTTCAAAAAATGAATTAACACTATCAACGGTGTGTGAAGCAGACACAGTGATGATGTTATGATCAAGATCTCCAGCTGTTGTGTCATCTACTGAAATGAGCGCCAGCCAGCCCCGAACTGTCCTGTGTTGTAATACCACTTTGTGACACTAGACGCTGTGTGAGTCAGTGGCGCGTCAAGTCTGACCTCAGTCCCACGAAGAAGAACAACTTCCGGCAGCGCTGGAAGTTAGCGGCACAGAAACACAGGATGAACCTAATAAAAGACGTTATTCATCTGTATCCCGAAGGACCGCTCCCGACAAGAAACCACGTTCAACGGCAAAGAAAAGAAGCAACACGAGTAAATCTCGGTGTGGCTTTCCACCGCTAGAGACGGCTCCTGAGAGGAAAGAGATGCGGTTTAATGCCGAGCTCGCAACTTTCCTGTTAGCCCGGTGAGTAGCTTCAATGTTAGCCTTTAGCTAAAAGTATAATCAGTGCAACGACTGACAAACCGTACCGACAAACATTTTAGGTGGCGATATTGACGTCTACAGACGTTTTAGCGGTTAGTAGGATTGTGTGTGTTGCTCTCGGCTGTTGTACAGCTAGTGACGTCAGTAACTTTAGGCTCATATTGTAACTGATGACTGTAACTTGAGATTGTATGGACCCAGTAGACCGAGTGAATACACGTCGATCGGTTCACCATGTTGTAACCTCTTTGCATTACTGTTAGGAGATCAGCCATGACTGATAGTGAACTAGGTCTTTACATTTCTCAGGAGGTTTCAGCATCCCTCTGTCTTTATCAGGACCTGAGCCAGTACAGATGCAATACCGCCTCCACCTGTCTCACCCACGGCAGAGTCAAGACAGTGAGGAGGGTCTAGGTGAGTAACATGCTCTCATTCACTTTTAACAGTAAGACTTGTCTATACCACTGTGATTAATACTTAAGATACTGCTGATTCTTAATAATGAATATACCACTGCCTATATTGGTTATGTATTTTACAGTATATCCATATTTGTATTACTGAATTTTGTTGGTTGTACGGTGTGTGTGTGTGTGTGTACATTGAATTCTTATCAGGCCTCTAGTTGTTTACTCTTCTTATCCTTGTGTTTACATGTCATAATATTCATACTGTATTTTTGCATATTCATATCTATCCTCACGATTTATTATACCCACACAACAGACCTAACATGTTTGAATATAAAGAACTTGTATGATCTAAAGGAATTGTCCTATCACATGTTTGTCTGTATCAGGACCAGAAGTCCAGTCTAACCTTCACCAATAATGGACCAGCACCTGCCTTTTCTTCTGCATCTGGCCTCATCAATCATCAACCACATTATATCAACACTTTGAGGTATTATCCCTGCACATGACAGATATTGTCTTTACTGTGATCTTTTGCACATCCCCTAATCAATACCTTTTGCACATCTTGCCCAGCAGGAGTTTTGTCATTCTAAACCACTTTTGTTGCTGCCTCACCACTAATTGTGTGTGTG